GAACCTTGGAAACATTAGGTGAAGTGAGAAAAGCCAGTACATGAGGGCGTATGTTGCATACTTCCATTTATATGAAATGTCCGTAGATGGCAAGTCCACGGAGACAGAGTATATTAATGATTGCTGAGGGTGGGGAGTTGGGGGGGGGAGGGAAGGAGTGGAGAGCAACTGCTCACTGCACAGACTTTCTCTGGGGTGCGTAAAAATGTCCTGAAGTTAGATAGTGGTTAGAGCTGCAGAACTCTGTGAATGTACTAAAACCCACTGAATTTTGTGCTTTAAAAGGGTATGTTTAATGGTATGTAAATTACATCTCAATTTGAAAATATGACAAGAAGTATGAGCAAGTAGAGTATATCACAGACATGGTTGAACATTCGAAAATCAATCAATGTAATTCATCATACCAGTGGAATAAAGGGGGAACCATAAAATTATATCAATAGGTTCAGAAAAGGCATTTGACAAAATTCAACCTACTTTCAACATGAAGACTCTCAAAAAACAGAAATAGAAGGGAATTTCCTCAACCTGGTAAAAAAGAATCTATTAAAACCCCCTATAATATAGTCAGTGTTAAAGGACTGAATGCTTATCTCTTAAGATTAGATACCAGGCAAAAATGTCTACTTTCAATACTTGTAGAAAATGGCAAATGCAATAAAACAAGAAAAAAAAAGGCAAATGGGTTGGAAAGGAAAAAGAAAAGCTGTCTTTATTCACAGACAATACAATCATCTAAGACAATCCTAAGAAATCTATATAAGAGCTACTAGAACTAATAAGTGACCTTAGCAAGTTTGCAGGTATTCCATTCTAGGTATCCCCCTAAAAGAAATTAAAGCACATACCTCCCCCCACCGCAAAGACATACATGGATATGCATAACCACTTTATTCACAATAGTCAAAACCCCAAGATACTTCAGATGTCTATCAACAGGTCAAAAAACCTTGACAAAAAAAAAAAATAACTTTGGTGGAGGCATCCCTGTTCCCACCAGGAAGCCACTAAACCTTTGTTCCATGGAAGCAGAAGAGGGTGGAGAAGAAGACAGTGGACCAAAAAGTTAGCGATAGGGACCTGGCCTGGAGGCGCCAGCTGAGGAACGAGGAGCACTTGGGTGGGAGGTGGAGACTAGAGTTGCTCAGCAAGACGAGAGTGAAAGTCACAGGTGGGGCTGTGAGATTTGGGAAGCAGGGGCAGAGGAAGACCTCAGAAAGAGAAGGGATAGATCAGCACGAGAGTCTGTCAGAGGAGGGCAACTTGCGGGGAGTCAGGGTTGTACAGAGAGGATTTCAGAAACTTGGTATGTGATGTGACTCCCTCTTCTCAATGTTTCTTTTGGATGATACATTGCACTGGGAGAGGCCCAGTTTAGTGGGGGCTACACTAAATAGGCACCACATGCTTGCTAGGCACGAGTGCTAAGCAATTTGAATACTTTCATTACTACGAGGTGGTACTGTTATACCCATTACATAGATGAGAAAGCTGAGGCATGGAGTTTTAAGTGCTCTATACAAGATCTCATGGTTGCTAAGGGGCAGAGCCTGGATATTCCACTGCATATTCAAACTTAAAGTTAAGAAGCAATGTCTCTTTTTCACCTTCTTCCCTGATCAGGGTTCTCTCCTCTTCTGAGGGCTGGGGGGGTCAGGGAGGGGTGCTGGAAAGTGATTTTGGTTCAGGCCTCACATTCCCAAATCACCTTACCTCCAAATGAGGTCGTATATCCAGCCAAAGATACTCAGCCCAGCCTGAGAGAAGAGGAGATTCACCAAGTTCAACGTTACTTCCCACTGCCTGACAGTGTCACCTCCAGTGAGCCAAGAGCTAATAATCACATAAATCCCCTAAGGACCTGATTCTAGCACAAGTACACTGGTTTGGAAACGTCCCACGATTTTTGCTTCGTCATGTCACTCCATCTTCACCTTTCGGTCTGGTGGGGAACTAAAGCATGGGATGGCCTCTCCTGACCTTCACGAGGCCTCACCCCCTTCGCCCGTCCAAAGGGTCGGGTAAGACGGGACAGGACGGGCGCCAGCAGCAACTCTGATGCCCGGCCTGGGAGCTGCAGGGGGCTCTGCCGTCACATGGCTTAGCCACAGGCTGAAGTTGGTCAGAATTTGGGGGACCCAGAGGCTTCCTGGGGCAGGCCACCTCTAACCAGAGGTGTCTTGAGCTTTGAGGGGGTTTTAAGAAAACCACCAGAGTCTGACTGACTGGGGAAATAGCTATTTTGGGGTCTTTAACTAAAAAACAACTGTTTTGGGTTCTCACCTGGGGCCTGGGGTCATTTTGGTTTTGATTTTCACCTGGGGTACTTTGGCCCCGACCCTAGAGGACAACTGGTAAGGTCTAGAAACATGTTTTTATTTCTACAACCTGGGGGTTTTATTTGCATCTAGTGGGTAGAGAGGGAAGATGCTCCTAAACATTCTCTCATGTACGGGAGAGAACCAGCCACTCCGAATTCAAGGAGGCTGTTGTCGAGAAACTCTGCTCCATCCTTTGGGGCCTGGCCACACACACACCCTCCTGAGAAGCTTCCTGCAAGGCCTTATCTGGACCTAAGGCCGAGGCAGGTTGGACGACAGGCGGCACCCACCGGGGGGATTTCCCTCTCATTACCTGGCCACCCCCTCTGGCCCCTTTGCTGGAGAGATCTGCCCTCAGGTAAATGTTTTCCCAACTTGTTTGGGAAACTTCTAGAAAATCCCCTTTTGCCATCTTGTAAGTGGTGAAGATGCACTATGCTACGCTTTTTCCACCAAAAAAAAAGTTAGGGTGGTTAGGGGATTTTTATTATTTTCGTTCAAATAACTAAAAAGTGGCAATCAACCATTAAGATTTCAAAGGCGGCACATCCACCAACTGGCCCTCAAAAAGGTGCGCGGATGGAACCCCGAAAAAGAGAGCGAGGGGGGTGGTATCAGTGAATGAATGGTCTAGGCAGGGACGCCAAATCATTCTCACTGGGGGCGACATCAGCCTACGGTTGCCTTCAAAGGGCCGAATGTAATTTTAGGACTGTATCAATGTAACCACTCCTTAACAGTGCAGCGAGAGCTCGGGGCTGCCACCGGGTAGAAACAAGGTGCCGGGCCGGATAAAACAAGGTGGAGGGCCGCATTCGGCCCTCAGGCTTTGTGCTGGCCACCTGTGCTGTAGATGAAGGGCAGGGGTGGGGACCTAGGAATTCCGACCTGGGTAGGAGGCAGCTGAACGGTGGGCAGCAGGGGAAGCTCTCCCCTGTCCTCCCCAGTCACCAGCCACCTCAGTGTGAGGCTCTTGGGGAACCCGGGGACATTTGCCTACACTCTCAGGGGGTTCTTTTTCTCTCTTCTTTCTTCTCCCTGGGTTTCATCTTTACTAACTAGAGAGGGGTTATTAGGGAATGGAAGGCAGCATCCTCTAGGAAAGTGAAACTGCCTCTCAGAGCAAAAGGCAGAGGGGTCTAAATTCAGCCAATGGCCCTGTGCAGCCCCTGAATGCACCAGTGAGAGTCTGCAAGGTGGGGGTGGGGTGGGGGTGGGGTCGCTGCTAAGACTCCCAGACCCTAAATTCCTTCTCAAAGGCCCCATTTTGCTGGGCACGCTCTGCGGTGGGCTGGTTTGGGGTTAACTCTAACAGGTTAAGTACCCGCTCAAAGCACGTGATGAGAATAGATTTGGAGCCAGTTAAACCCAGGGTGCTGGAATGGGTTGGTGCCTTTTTGTTCCCAGGAAGGTGGGAGAGATGAAACAGCCGGTTGGTGCCGATTTCTGCGGGGCCAGCGATAACCTTGACACTGAGGCCGCACACTGTCCCTTCCTACAGAAACAGGTTGGATGATGGCCCCTACATCCCTGCGTGGGGAGCTTTTGAATAATACTCTGCTCAAACCAGTTAAATAAAAATATCTGAGTACTTCCTTTCTTCTGTGTGGCCTTGGGAGACTTTGCACCTCCTTCCAGGGACAGAAGGCTGACTTCTGAAATGACTCTCCTGAAGGAAAAGTACCTAGTTCTGTAGTCAGGGCCCCAGCCGCGCCCCAGGGGGACACACCACGGCACTCAGGTTTCTCCTCTTTCCGCCCATTTCCTGAATGACTTGGTCAGAGAGCATTCATGCTCTTGTAAGACACGAAGTCTTGGAAATGAGGCGAGTGAGCCGGCGTTGGGCTGAAGTGCATACCGTCCTGGTACTTGGAACAGCAAACCAATAGGAGAACTGAAACCGAGTAAGTCTGAGTATAGCAGGGTTTGGGCACTCTAAAAACACCTTCTATTTTCAATTACCTTGAAAAGCCCATTTACCTACAACGGATCCTGCTAATTTTAAACAACGCTGATTCTGTAGGCACCGCTGTTAGACCAGTGATTGAAACACTGCAATAAGGGTGGGCAAACAGTGGCTACCCTAAATTCTTGGGGTTCCCCCTGAGATCTCCCCCTCCCTCAAGACCACTTCCTCTCCTACCTCCCACCATCTAGCAGGGGCCGGGATCTGCTCTGACTGGTGGGTATCCAGTCTATACAGGTTGTCAAGAATGTCGTTGTTGATTATCATTCTCTTAAATCTACTCATGGGGCGCTGGCTGGTGTAGCTCAGTGGACTGAGCACTGGCCTGTAAACCAAATGGTCACTGGTTCAATTCCTAGTCAGGGCACATGCCTGGGTTGCAGGTCAGGTCCCCAGTAGGGGGCACTTGAGAGGCAACCACATATTAATAGTCCTCTTCCTCTCTTTCTCCCTTCTATCCCTTCTCTAAAAATAAATAAATAAACTATTTTTTAAAAATCTACTCACGGATGCAGCTTTCCCCGAGGTACTCTGCTTGTCATATTTAGTCAGAACAATAGAAGGGTTGCTTTAGTTTACCAAAAACTCTTATTGTGGCACTGCCCTAAGAACTTTTCGAACTTCAACTTTTGTCATCCTTCTAACACACAACCCTAAAGATTAGTGATACTGTGTTCTCCCGTTCTATAGACGCAGGAATGGCGGCACAGAGGTGTCAAGGAACCGCGGGACCCCCGGCGAGCCAGTGAGGAACCGAGCTTCCCAGGCAGCCTGGCTGCAAGGTGGTGCTCTCAGTCATGGAATATAAGGTGGGGGGTGTTTGTTTGCTTGTTTTTGTTCTACTAAACTTAGATTCCCAAAGCAGACCCTGAGCACTCCTCCCTACCATTCCCTTCCACCAAATTTACACCCGGGAGAACAGAGGCACAGAGGTAAAGGCGCCTTCCCAGCGTCATAAAGGCGGTGGGAGGCAGAGCAAGGAGCAAAGTGCTGCTCCGCAGCTCCCTCCTGGTCTCAGCCGTGCCTCATTCTGCCCTGGGGCCCCTCGGAACCGGTTTGAGACGTGCGGTCGTTTAGAGAAATGCCCGCAAATTGTCGAATATTTCTTCCTAGAAGAGGTAGAGCCTCATTTGCCTCCCCTTGAGGGTGGGCTGGACTTGGAGCCTCACTTCCAATGGTAAGAAGGAAGCAGAAGCGATGAGAGACTAAGTCATAAAAGGCACTGTGAAGTTCTCTCTCCCCGTCTCTCTCCCCTCCATGTAGGGGAAGCCAGCTGTCACATGTGACCCTGAAAAAAGTTACTTCGCCTCTCTGCACCTCAGTATTCTACATCTAAAATGTTGGGGAAGAGGACTAGTACTTGCCTCCTATGACTGCTGTGAGAATCGAGTGGGCTAATTCATGCACTTGGCACATAGTAAGTGACATATGCCAAGGATACTGGGAACAGCTGTGCACAGCGTTCCCTGCTAAAGAGCCCCCACCTTCACAGTCTCACAGGTGCTCACCAGTCCTTGCCCTTTGGCCTGGCATTGCCAGCCAAGAGATGGCACTGTTTTCTAATTTGTACCGGGGCCATGTACGAGCCAACGACTCATACATGACCCTGGTACAAATTAGAAGTGTTCATTGTCAGGATAAGGAAGTGAAGTGTTCTGCAAATTTACCCTTAGCATTCTTTGTGGGTATTGGGCCGATGTTAACTGATTGGATGCTGGCTCTGTTACTACTGGACTTGGCGGCTTTATGGAGTTCTACAGAATGACCTCAGTGTGATGCTTCAGGGTATCCCAAGCTTTGTGTGACTATTCAAATACTATAAGATATTAATAGAAGTTAAATGTAAAAATACTGGCTCTGACTGGGTAGCTCAGTTGGTTAGAGCATCGTCCCCATATGCCAAGGTTGCAGGTTTGGTCTCTGGTCAGGGCACGTGTAAGAAGCAAGCAATGAGTGCGTAAATAAGTGGAACAACAAATCGATGTTTCTCTCTCTCTCTCTCGCTCCTCCCTCCTTCCTTGCCCTCTTCCTCTCTATATCTAAAAATAATAAAGTAAAACCATTTTTAATGTAAAAATATTGACAATGTAAAACATTTCAATCATGTGTGGCAACATTGCATGTAGCACTGTGTGTTGTTTGGGTACACATCTTCAAGTACAGGGAAATGAACAGGGAGAGGAAGGACACATTCTGGAAAACAGTTACCTGGGGGCCGGGGTAGGGGGCAGGGAGTGGGGTCAGGAAAGGATACACAGGGGCCTTCAGCTCTATTCATAATTTATTTACTAAGCTTAATAGTGGTTATTATTCCACCATTTATTATTCCTTAATCTTAAATATTTAAAAATAATTTCAATGATACCATTGAAAGAGACCATCTTTCTATGTCCGCTAATTTTTTCTCTCATTATTAGTCTCTGTTAAATAAGTACATTGATGTGAAACTACAGCATCAAGTGATTATTCATTTATCAAGTGTTTACTGTTGAATGATAGATTGTTCAAAGATAAAGAATTTCATGTGAACATTATAACGCTTACAATAACCTATTTGGTTATTTGATTACTTCCCCTGCTTTCTATGAGGGCAAGATTTCTGTCTTACTCATCATTACGATTTCTGCTACGTAATGGGTATTAATAAATGTTACATTATTCATTACCACCTCACTGGTCTTGGACACCGATATCTCCAACTGGAATTATGGCAGTGATTCAATTTCATAATCCTAACTGGCCTCCCTACTTCCACTCTGCTGCCCTCCAGGCAAATCTCAACTGCATCTAGAGAGATCCTGTTAAAACCCAAGTTACAGCTCATCACTCCTCTGTTCTAAAACCTCCAATGGCTTCTCATTGGTGGCAGATTGCAGAAATGGCCACAGTTCCTTAAATTCCTCCTATCAAGAGGCAAAGCCCAGCACTCACTCCACTGAGTCTGGGCCCAGATGTCTTTGTCCAGTAGAATGTGGCAGAAGGAACATCTTACAAAGTCCGAGACTGGGCCTCGGGAGGCTTCGAATGCTCCTGCTCTTACTCTTGGAATCCTTGCAGCTGCCACGTGAATGAGCCCAGGCAAAGCTGTGGGGGAACGAGACACCACGTAGAGCAGAGCCGTCCCAGACGAGGCCATTCTAGATGAGCCAACTATCAGTCCACCCTCGCTGTCTGAGCACACGTGATGGAGCCCAGCCAAGGTCAGTCTCGCCCAACCAGGTCACCTGCAGACTCACAAGCTAAATAAACGGTTGTTGTTTGGAGCCACTGAAGTTTGCTGTGGGGTGTTAGGCAGCACAAGCTGATTCGCTCTCTCACTCTGAGAGTGAGTCAATACTAACTGCATCCCCAGTGCCTAGAACATTGCCTGATCCATGGTAAGGGCTCGATAAACATTTGCTGAATGAAATCTGTAGGTGGAGTTAACATTCTGATAAAGGGAACAAACAAAAAAAACACAAAGTAAATAAACTAGTAAAATAATTATAAAATGTGATGGGTACTGTGAAGAAAGTAAAATGTGGCTGAGGTGGAGCCTCACAGAATGGAAATAAAAGTGCGGACCCTCCAGGGGTCCCCATTACTCTCAGAACAAAAGCCAAAATCTTTCTAGCAGCCTCCAAAGCCCTACGTGGTACCTTGCTGACTTCTCCTGCCATTCACTGCCTCTCTGCTCCACCCGGTTTGGCCTCCCTGCTGCCTTCTGACATACCAGACATGCTCCCATTTCAGGTTCTTGATGGAACACTCTCCCCTTAGACACCCACACCGTTTGCTCCCTTTCTTTCTTTGGGTCTGTGCTCACACGGCCCCATCACGACCACCCTGTAGAAACAGCAACCCCCTGACCCCTAGGCTGCCCTAACCCTTGTCTGCTTTACTCCCCTCCACAGCAATTGTCACCCTCCGATGCATTACAGAAGGCTCCTTTGTTTACTGCCTGCCTCTCTGACTCAAATACAACTTCCATGAAGGAAGAAATTTTGTTTTGCTCAATGTACCCTTGGACAGGGTAGAACTGTCTTGGGCAGAAATTCAGCCAGTGGATACAAAATCTTTTAGGGGCCATAATGCCCGTCAATCCGAAAAGTAAGCGAGGTGAGGATTGGGATTTGAGCCTCACTGGAAATAAGGCAAGTCCTTTTTAAAAAGTCAAATGCCCAGGTGAGTGTTGGAGAGCTCACTGAGAGCTCTACAGATGGGCTCATGGCAAGGCTGGTGACGTTCCAAAGCTACCGATACTACACGGAACAGCCAGCTGGAGCACCTTTTACCTCTGTGGAATGCTAGGGGCGTTCTAATGCATGTTATTATTTGCTTCTCCAACATCCCTGAGGGGTGGGTAGGGCAGGTTCTACTAACCTCCATTCATAGATGGAGCTAGTGGGGGCCCCAGAGCTCGAGCGAGCTGCCCGAGGCCACAGATGGACGGAGTGGGCAAGCCGGATGTCAAACCATGGTTGGTCTGACTCCAAGCACTGTGCTCATGTCACGTCTCGTTCCTTTCTGTTCCTCCATTCTGGACTCTCACCTGGTGACTTTCTTGAGTCATTAAGTGTCAGAGCCAATCTTGAACTCTTGGCAGAACCTCAACCCAAGAGGCGCCTTCTCTCTAGCAGGGGTGTCCAACCTGTTGGCACCTCTGGGCCACACTGGAAGAAGAGTTGTCTGGGACCACGCATTCAATCCACAAACGCTAATGAAACCGATGAGCTAAATAAAGGTTTGAAGTAAATTTACAATTTTGTGGTGGGCCGCATTCATGGCCATGTGGGCTGCATGTGGCCCCCGGGCTTCGGGTTGGACACCCCCAGTAGAGAGCGCCCCGCCAAGAGGCATGGGCGGTGAACACACTGTTAGAGCATCAGTTCCAGAGCCTGCCCCATGGCTTCAGATCGACCACAGCCCCTTCTGTTTGACGGTTAGGAAAGCCTGCGCCTTAAGTCTTGTCATCCCCAGCCCACCCTCGGCGGGGCTGGCTGGGCTGCAAGGTCAGTGAGGAAGGGTGGGCAGCTGCTTTCAGGCAAAAACCAAAAAGAAATCCCTGGTCTTGTTGTTTTATTTTGGCTTAAAAATCAAGTCGGGTGACAATGGAAACTCCTTCCTTGCTCACTCTCCTCTCTGCCCGTGTTGACAGTAGACAGACTTGCTAATTCTGGCTGGGGTTTTTCCCTCCCAGGCTGTTTTTCTCTTTTATCTTCATCAATTGAAGAGAGCTGTTCTGCCTTTTCAAACTGTCGGAAGGTATCTGGGGTTTTGTGTATTTTTTTCTTTCTTTCACATAATTCTGTGGGTCTTTTCCCAGATATGTATTTTATCTTAAATTAACTTCTAGCTCAAGTTTCCGCCCATGTGACTTCAGCGTGAGTTACCAGAAACCACAAGAGAAAGAGCCGTGAGAGAGCCCCAGAGCAAACGACATGTCCCTGTGGGGAGCAGTGCCTCTGCACCCCAGAGCGAGGAGGACGCAGGGGTCACAGGTGGCTGCAGAGCCGGCAGAGGAGGGACCTCTTGAGGAGCTTGGCTGTGGGGCTGCTGGCCTGGGAATCGTCAGGCAAGGAGGCCAGCTGGTGACAAGAGAGCCCAGAGGCCCCTGGGGCTGCGTGGAGAGCCCGGAAGACTGCAGTCATGCCTCACAGCTCCGACAGCAGCGACTCCAGCTTCAGCCGCTCTCCGCCCCCAGGCAAACAGGTAGAGTCCTCCTTTCCTTCCTTCTCCCCTCTGGTTCTCCTGGGGTAGGAGGGGATGAGCAGAGGGGCAGGCTTCCCTGTCTCACCCAGGGGGCTGAGAAGTGAGGGAGTAGCTGGTGGCGGGAGCAGCCTGTGAGGCTTAGGACGTGGTATTTGCAATCAAGCTGAGCATGCAATCAAGCTGAGCATATTGGCAGAGACCCTCACCCTCCTGCCCGTTCCACCACAGCCCCTTGTCCTCCTTGTTCTCTGATGGTGCCCATCGCCTCCACCTCACTTGGATTCCCACCCCAGGAAGCTTTCTAGGAAGCCAAGAGGAGAATGAACATCAAAGGACTCTAGTCTCTCAGGGGAAAGGCTCTGCGTTTTTCTAAGACAGTGGAAAACCAAGAAGAGGAGACTTAGAGTGGGCTCCGTGTCCCAAAGGCCAGAGATGTATTGTCCCGGGAGACAGCCATGGGGCAAGCGAGAGAGGGGTCAGGGAGAGCGGAGGAGAAAAAAACAGGTTAGAAGAAGGAACCCAGGCAGCACAGAAGGATCAGCCTTATCCACTGGGGCACTGTCCCTGTCACTAGCACGGCCAGCGGAGAGGGCTGCTCGAGCTGCGACCTGTGCCTTTTCCCCCTGTGGCTTCTGGACGAGAGGAAGGAAAGAAATCAGGAGGCAACTTTGGAGACTTAGAGACATTTACCCAGCTCAGCTCTGGGGAAATCAGAGAGATCCAGGTAGAGATTCTGGGAGTGTTTGGGGTCTAGACTGTGATTTCCGAGTCAGAAGTTTTCAGCTTGGGGGTTATCAAAAAAGTGGGGCACCCCGCCTGCCTCACAGTTTCGAAGGTGTCCTCTTGACCACATTTCTCGACATCCCTCTCTATAGGAAGGCTTCTTTCTCTTCCAATACATCAGTGAATGGAAAGTTCTTCCATTCATTTCTTAGCACAGATATCCAAGAGAGCTTTCAAAATGCTGCTGCCAAAAAAAAAAAAGTGTATGGACATATAATATGCAATGGCATCGGGTCATAAATAACCTAACAGAAGGGACAGGGTTGGAGAAGTCCTGGTGTGAACCCCTAGAGGGAAAACGCCTAGGTCCTCTGTTCGAGATGGTATCAGGCTGGCTCAGATTGCCTGGAAGTCTGCTCTTCTTAGGAAGGAAATTACTCATGGCTTCCATGGTAACCTGGTCCCCATCCCCCTTAGAGGAAGAGCACTTCCTTCCCTTCTAACCCAATGCCCTTCTGCTGCAGTGGCTGGAAGTGTTGGGCAAATTCATGAGACACATGCTTGGTGAGCAGAGTCTTGCCCTGGGAACTGTGCACCTCTAGACTGTGGGGTTGTGAAACCGGCCAAGACCTGCAGAAGGGTTTTACTCAGGCCCCTGCATTTATCCTGCAGCATCTGGGGGACAGCTGGACCTAACCTCTCTGCCCAAGCAGAGGACCTGCTCATTTGGGAGATGTACTCAGAGAACACCCAAGGTCCCCTTGTCCTCCTAAGTACCCATGCACTACCTGTCCCAGCCAGGTAATCTTCACCATTAAAGCCATTCTTGGCCTCTAGTTTATAGTAGGCATTGCACTCGGGGTTATGGGGAATGTCAAGGTCACTGAGCACAATGCAGGGAAAGAAGGGACAGATTTGGGATGGGAATCTAAGCCCAGGAATGCAGCAGAAGACACAGGGGGTACATGCCAGTGAGGTTGGGGTGGGGCTCGGAAAGGCATCAGACCTCGCATTGGAAGATGTAACTCCCAGATTACTGTGAGCTCTTGGGCAAGCTCTTTGATCTTCCATTTCCTCACATATAAGATGGAAATGACAATACCAACTTCACAGAATTGGGGCAATAAACAAGAGTACCTCTGGAAAAACACTTGTTCAGAAGCGGACACCTAGTAGGTGCTCAAAAAAATTTTGAAAAAAAAAATAGCAAGGAAGTTTTAGGCTGAAAGGTGAGAGAATAGGGTGGAGCAGCCCCGAGGAGGAGGAGAGGTGATAAAACACACTTCGGCGCCTCAACCATTTTTTTCAAAGCACATTTCTAGCGAGGCCTCGAGGCCTTTACCCTCTTCCTGTGACTACTGGCCAAAGAAGTCGCAGAGACCTAGGGAGCGTGACAGAGTGTGGGGAAGAGTTCCCCTTTGGGGTCAGCCTTTTGGTAAATAGGGGGTGGGTGGGCAGATGAAAAGATGAAGAAACAGAAGGATGGACGGATGGACACTCAGCAGCAGGACAGCCTGCTTTAGCTCAGAAGAGAGGGACAGATGTGCCCAAATTGTCATCCACTCTGCTTCCCAGGACTCATCTGACGACGTGAGAAAGGTTCAGAGGCGGGAGAAAAACCGCATCGCTGCCCAGAAGAGCCGACAGAGGCAGACGCAGAAAGCCGACACCCTGCACTTGGTGAGCGCTCAGACCTTTTCCATCCTCTCGGGCCCTGGGCTTTGCTCCCTGCCCCCTCGGACGCTTGGGCTGCAGCTTTGAGTCGGCCTGTGTGGAGATGGGGATGTGGGGGGAGTGAGTTGAAGGGACAGGGCTGTGCGGTGAGGTGGGACTGGAGGCTCTCCTTTGAGAGTAATGAGAGAATTCTGGCAGGGAATGAGCCAGAATGCTGAAGGAGAAAGGAGCCCTTCTTTCTGGCCCCTGAGGGGGAAGGAGGGGCGCATGGGTGGAGCTCCAGCAGCTCAGAGGCTGAATAGAAGGCAGAATCACCTGCTCCGCGACGGGGCAGCCATCCCTCGTGAGCCCAGAGAGCAGAGGCAGGACTGTCTCTGGGAGGAATCGGAAGTTGTGAATGGCTTTGGGGGAGCCCAATATCTATCTGTGCTAGGGTCCCACATAGTCTCATCCCCTGGGAGGCCAGTCGGGCAGCCACTGGGCCCTGCATCTTTTCTGAGTGTCATTGAGGTTTGACTTTGAAGTTCTTCTCTTTAATGATATCCCAAGGGGACTGTGGAAGATGTAGTTTCAAGTGCATTTACCGGGGAGGGTCGCCATCCTGGGCGAGTTGCCTCTGCAGTCTCCAGTGTTCTAGAGACGGCCCTGACCCTTGGCTTGGGCAGGGCCCTGGTCAATGCCAAACTGCAGTTCCACCCATGGCCCAAGGCCCTGGGATGTTCCTCAATTCTGGCTGTGTGCCCCCTCAGTGATGTTCCCTCCTGGTCCCCTACACCTTAGCAACTGACCTCTCTTCCCTCTGCCTCTTCACTTGGTTCTTGTCCACCCGTCTCTGACCCCTCTGGCCCCATCCTGCCCATCCCCTCCTGCCCTTCTCTGGCCACTCTGCCTTTTGGTCCTTCCTCCTGAGCAGTCCCGAACCGCTAGCACCCCCGTAGGTCATTTCAATGGTAAGACGGGCAATTGGTGCCAGAAGTGAATACGCTTGTGTTTATTTGAAAGATCAGCATGGAACTCAGCCAGTGAGAATAGTGGTTTTCATCTTATCAAGAAAAATTAAGGTGTCTGTATGTGGTGTCAGGTGGGTACCAGGCTTTATTGGGGTGATCAGTTTGTGAGGTGTATCAGTGTCTAATCCCTATGCTGCACACGTGAAATGAATATAATATTGTTTGCCAACTGTGACTGAAAAGCAAATTTAAAAAAGCAAGATGCAGTTTTAGGAAAAAAGGTGACTCGTTACGCTTTGTAAGGAAGCAGAGAGCAGGCTGCTGCAACGCCTCTGACTGGATGCTCGTGTTTTATTCGAAACGTATTCCGCGTACCTTCCGTGGCGTGGTAGCATAGTTTTAAGTTCATAAATAATTGTTGGGTTGGACAACAACAAAAAAGATGAATGAACAGCAAGTCTGTCCTCATTGAGAGCCGTGATCAGAAGCCTAAAGGTTAAATTGGCGGTGGTCCTGCCACTTACATGTTCTCCATGGTTTCATTGTGGCTCAGGGTCTTACGACATGCCAGTTTGCTATCTGAAGCTCGGACACCTACGATCACTCACTTTGTGTCTATCAGAGTCTGATTCTCATTCAGGTGTTCTTTAGAGCAAGCCAATGAACAAAGTGATGAAAATTAGAAAGGATTAAACCTTTCTTTCTGCCCCGGCTGGTGTGGCTCAGTGGATTGAGCACAGGCTGAAAACCAAAGGGTCACCAGTTCGATTCCCAGTCAGGGCACGTGCCTGGGTTGCAGGCCAGGCCCCTCAGTGGGGGCCATGTGAGAAGCAACCACAGATTGGTGTTTTTCCCCCTCTCTTTCTCCCTCCCTTCCCCTCTCTCTAAAAAATAAAATAAAATCTTAAAAAAAAAACCACTTCTTTTCTGTGAAAGTGGATAATGTCCCAAGTCTGGAAAACTGCTGTGAACTTTGCATTTGTGACTTTTTAAATGTGGAAACTAAGTACGGCTCAGCGGGTCCACAGTCAAAAGGCCAGGGTTCGAACCCCACCTCCGCTGCGTGCAATCTGCCGGCCGACGTTAGAGACATGGCTCACTGCCCTCAGACGCGGCGTCCGCGTCTGTGAAATGGGGATGGACAGTCACTGCCTGACAGAGACGGTGCATCTAGGAGTCCAACACAGTGCCTGGCACAGCACGAGTATTCAAACTATTTAAGTATAATAAGAGTCCCGTCAATAGTAGTTATCATAGGAAGCAAAATAAAAAAGTGTATGCACACACGTTTTAATATATGTCTATATGTTTAGGTATGATTATTTTTGCTCCTATAATAATTAATGTATATATCACAGGGCTGGAAGATTTCTTAAAGGCTGGACACACTTCCCACACTTCAAACTCCTCTCCCACACACCCCCACTCTGGACACGGTCCCCAAATCATGCCTGGTCACTTCCGGTGGCAGAGCTTCCTCTCTTCTAACACGAACGAGGGGCCTTCCCTACCTTGAGTCACACCTCTTTCTCCCCTGCATCCACCCCACTGGTCTTCATCCGGCCCCCGGGGGACACAGCAGGGAGGGTGGTATGAATGTCTCTTGGCTGAGCCCAGGTTTCCCACTCTGGCTCCGCTGTCGCTCTCTGTAAGGCGAGAGTTAGCCCTCTGACTGCACTCATCATGGCTAGATGGGGACAATCTCTGGGGCTTGGGTCCACGGAGCCCCCAGTCACGTACACATTAATGCCTGCACCCCAGCCCCCCCGTCTCTAGAACATTCCCGCCTTCCCCACAGCTAGGCACAGGCTCCTCCCCACTCCTTAGGTCACATCAGACTTTACACAGTGAGTCTGGGGATTGCAGCCCATACAACGGATGTTTTTTGACTTTGGGTTTTGGCTGCAACGTATAAATCTGCCACCATTAAATGGAGGATTTGCCTGTGGTTTAAATGTTTATTTCCTCTTAGATGGTAATCACCCATCTTCTCCATCCATTAGCCTCTTAATGACATTTGCAATCTGGGTAGAAAATCTGCCGGTTTATCACTGACATTCTTAGGATCGAGGGCTTGGTTTGCCCTGGGCCCCTTTTCATACTTGGCTCCGCATGCTGGGGTTCTGGAACCTTCTCTGGACCTCTGGCAGAGTCACAGGGCTCATCCACCTGCACTTTAAAAACCAGGGCTCAGCAGCTACTGAGAGTGTGGTGTCACAGAAGGACAATGTTTGTATTCCTGTGCTGCGTCACACCGTCTTGATCTTGACTTCATTGCTATTATCTATCGTAGACAGGAATTCCCTTGTTTCCCCAGTGAAGCTGAGGGACTGTTCAACATTTCCGTATCTGTTCTGTAAGCGGTCTACGCCAACACACTGTACCTGAATCGCATTCAAAATGATAGAGCAGGGAAAGGTCCTCTTTCAGGGATTGTGTTTAATCTCATGCAGATGTTACGACACCCTGGCACTGGCTGCCCCTCACAGAAACTGGACCAAGTGCTTCTTCTCGTAACATCAACAAACAGCCCACGTTTTGTTTCAATTCTCTCTTGATTGGGTGTCTCGCTCAGCAGCCCTCACACTTAGTTTCTCTTCTCCCACAGACAATGCAGAGTTCATCAGGCCCAGTGACGACACTGAGTCCGAGGGAGAAGGGCCAACCTTGACCAGTTCATTTTCAAAAGATATCAGTAGCCAATACGTGGGTCCAAGATAATCAGTTAAAAATCTATTAAAAATAGTAAGGAAATCCAGTCAGCTTTTGAAGTTGACACAAAACAGTAACGACTTTCCTAGATGCAAACCATAACTAATTATAAAATTTATTCGTTGACAAGATTCCATCTATAACACCAACAACAGCAAATGGAAGGAAGGAATAAATTTAACAAAAAATATGCGGAGCTTAATTTTTTATGCTTTTGTAAATTATTCAAAGTGACTTAAAAATACACTCCGATAAATAGATATATCTTATATAATAATGATTTTGTTAAATCAATGTAAAATTTAATTTAATGTGACCCCAATAAAATCTTGATAGGATTTTCTGGGATTTGAAGAGCTAGATTAGCTATTCTGAGTTCCCAGTGAAAAATAACCAACTGAGAATTTTCAGAAAAAAAATCTAAAAAGGGAGGGCAGCTGGAGAAGATTAACTGAATAGGATATTGAAGACAATGACAAATGTAGACATGAAAAAGATATAAAAAAGACAGAATATTGGATAGACTAGAATACAGAACGAGGCTCCAAACAAACTCAAATTTAAGACTCAAGTACATATGTCAATTCCCAAGTTCAAATGCACAGTGAGTAGGATGGCATTTCAAACTGGCTAGTTATCGGAGGGTGAGGGAAGGCTAACTGCTTTATTTCTCAGACAACACACACACACACACACACACACAGATAAATATAAAAAGAAAAGGAGAAAAACTAAAGAAATTTGGGAAAGGGAGCATTAAAAAGTTTATCTTGGACTGGAGTCTTTTCCACATAAAAAAACAAAACCTTGAAACACTAGAGGGAGAGATTGGTATACATTCCCTTTATTTCACTAAAAAGTGAAAATTTCTATACAGTTTAAGGTACTATATGTAAGATCAAAGGCGAATGACAGACTGGGAAAAACATCTGCAAGACGTGTGACCAGGAAAGGGCAGAGTGTTTACTTAGTATATGAGAGCTCTTATGAATAAGAAAATGATGAACAATCCAAAGGAAAATGAGGGATGATTACGAGTAGGCATTTTACAGAGTGAAGTAAGTGGCAAACAGATATGGAAAAGAGGCTCCTTTTTATACCAGTGAAATGACAAGGGGAGCAGTGTGACGCTCTCCTGCCAGATCGGCAAACAGGAAAATGCTGCTGATGCAGGGCATCGCCGAGGCAGCGGCAGGCATGACCGATAGCGGTATAAGCCGGTACGACTGCAACAGAGGGCATTTGACTGTGTCCGTCCAGTTTATAAGCGCACGTACCCTGTAATGGGGCAGTTTTACACCTAGGAGTCTATTTGCCAACATACCCACAGATTACATAATTATA